TTAGAAAACACTGGAATGCAATAAAATAAAATAAAATGCTATATACAATAGAATAAAATAGAATAGAATAGAATAATATATACAATAGAATAAAATAGAAATACAAATGCTATATACAACTGAGTAAGAAAATACAAAAGTACAACTTCGTCAGAAGAAGAAGAATTGCACATATAGCAGTGTTATTGCACGTGTGAGGGTTTGATCAGCTGCAAAAGTCTTTGTAGGCTGACATTGTTATCTTTTTACAAAAAAAACAGCTAAACATGAGAGGGTTTTGGACAAAGTTTGTGTTTTCCATTGTTTAAGCAGTGGTTCCAACCAAAGGAGGTATGTTGTATCAACAGAAAAGGCTAACTTGGTTATCATTTTGCAGAAAAAAGGAGACTTCTAAAAATAAAAACATAAGAGGTTTTTGGACAAAGTTTGTGTTCTCCATTCTTTAAGCACCAGTTCGAGCACCGGCACCGTTTCAAAAGTACCAGTGTCGCACTGGCATTGGATAAAACCTAAACGATACCCAACCCTACTCTGGAAAGGTTTACAAAGGTATTCCTAAGGCTCTGGGACTTCAGAGAACCACAGTGATTATCCACAAATGGAGAAAACTTGGAACAGTGGTGAACCACACAAGTGGCTGGCCTATCAAGTGCATATCAAAGACTCATCCAGGAGGCTACAAAAGAACAACATCACTGTAGACCTGTCAGTGCTCGTCTTTCAACAATAAGAAACAGACTGGACAAAAATGGCATCCATATATGACTTCCAAGGAAAAATAAACACTCCTGACCAAAAAGAACATGAAGACTCAGCTCACTTTTGCCAGAAAACACCTTGATGGTCCCCAAAAAAATATCCTGTCGACTGACGAGACTAAAGTTTGAACTGTTTTGGAGGGTTTGTGTCCCGTCACATCTGGCAAAAAACTAACATAGTAAAAAGAACGTCATACCAGTTTCTTTGGGGTAGCTCACCGCATCGTTTAAGTATTAAGAAACTTCAAGCGAGTGCAAAGCAAGGAGGTTTTTCATTGCCTAATTTCCAATGGTATTATTGGGTGATGAACGTGAAACAACTTAGGGCTTGGTTACCTACTGCACCAGTTAAACCCATCTGGTCCTATATAGAGACGGAAGTTAATGGCGGTATTTCTCCTTGGAGGGAGCTGTTTGATACCAGTCATAAAACTATCCATCCTATAATTGCAAATGCGAAGACATTGTGGTGTAAATTACATAGGGCAGGTCGCTGGGACTTTATTAAATCACCTTCGGCAACCTTATGGGGGAATAAAAGAATTTTAATTGGAGGGACATCGGTTGACTGGTAACAGTGGCGTAAGGCAGGCATCCTTAATGTGTCAGATTTATTTGACTGTGGGACCAAATGTTTTTTAAGCTTTGATAAAATTGTGGAGTTATATAAGTTGAAGCGTAATCAGTTCTGGAGATATGTCCAAATACATAGTTCATTATCGAAGTGGCTGGGAACCCCCTTGAGTTGTCCTGTGGGCAGCCCTGTGGAAGTCCTGCTCTCAAGATCACCCTTCGGTAAAGGTGAAAAACTTTATGCACAACTCAAAATCAGGACTCATGTAAGCTTTTATGTCAAATATCTTTTTACATCTGTTTTCCCTCCAAGTTGGTTGAGTTCATAACTTTTATGGACCCTAACATTCAATAAATGAAAAGAAACGTAAGTGTTTTCTTTTTCCTAACACTCTCTGACTTGGCAGGCGATCCCCCTGCTGACATGACTCTTACTACTCCAGGGTCAGGTTTATGTCAAACTGTAGTCCTCTGCCGAGGATGAACTCTTTTTGTTTTTAGTTTGGTATCAACCCCACCCTACATTTGGTCAAGGACATCTATCTTTCACACAGATCAATTGAGAGTAGATATATAATTCTTCTGACCTTGGTGGTCACAAGATGGTGCTAGAGATTACAGTTCCATGTTGCTTACCTCATTGATGGCAAGTTGCTCTCCTCCGCCTCCTCCTGGGTGTCCATAACGATGTCCAGATCCTCGAAATTCATCATAGAGGAGGTCCTCTTCACTGCTCAGGTCATCCCCAAACGCTGACTTTTCAAATGTGCCATCAGGAGCGACTGCAGCTGAGTCAGGAAAAGAAAGAAAAGGAAACAGATATCTTCACATGTGTTTGTAATTTGATTACATTAGATTTATAATCAAGTATATCTTTGTATTTTTATGCCAGTTTTCTAAACACTAAAATACAAAATAATGCACAGATGACAGGCAGACATTTTATAGGTTAAGCAGCCCAGTGTAATGTTATGTGAGGGTTAAGTATTTTAGCACCTCCTAGTGGTTTGCATGGAAACTGCGGTCAGGTGAATGTGCTGTGGCTTTACTCGCATTCCTTCCTGTTGGATGTTTAGGGTCACATGAGCACGGTAATACAGGAACCATTTTAGTATTAGGAATTGCACAATGAGGTGTACCATTAGTCTCTCTGTTTAATCCTTCAACATCCACCTGTGAGAAGGACAAGCTGTGTCCTTTCACAGATTCTGGAAAAGAAGAATGTCCACCAGTGAAGACAGTAAACAATCCTTTACTTTGCTTCCATGTCTGAGTCGTCATTCAACGCTTTCATTGCCTACTGCATATGTTTAGCTGTCTGTCAATTCGTGTAGAGCCACGCACGCACGAGACAGAATACTCAGTAAGTCCAACACACGCCGGCTGCACAATCAGCTGGCAGAGTTGTTCACAAGATGCAATCAGGGATATTTCATCCGCTAATCATTCTCTCTTTTGCCAAACAGTTCACAACGTAACAGGTTAATACATCACAGCACAAACATACCTGCATTACTTACTGAAATGCAGTCGGCAACCCTGACAACCTCACACTCTTCTTCACTTACATTTGGGCTTCACCTTTATTCCTCACTTAATATGAAGGAAACCAGTCAGTCAAAATCAGGTCTCCAAAAAGTCTGCCGTCTCTTTCTCAGAGTTCCTTTTTTCAAAACTTGATTCCTTAACATAAAACATCACTGTTGCATCCTGGGGCAGCAAACATGATCCCCTCAAACCGATTTTTCATTTTACTGTCCTTATGTTCCACTGAGTTACTGCTTCTGTTAAAAACTAATGTAAATTACTGCTCCCAACCAGCCTGTTGACTGAATGTTCTGCACTGGCACAGCACGGCACTAAGATGTTCCAAAAACTTAAATCCACACAGCGTTACATCTGTGTCAGGACTCTGATGTACATAAGCCTGTAAAGTGTTTCATGTCCACTTCAAGAACAGCAGTTCAATAACAGCAAAAGTCTCTTTTTCATTCTCTATCACTGGAAACTAAAGAATTTGGGATTTTAAACATTCATGCACAGATTTGATTGCTTTTGTAATTTTTTGTGATAGTTTGAATAATTGAAAAAGGGTTAAACTAGATAAAGTAAATAAAGTAAATAAAGTAAATAAAGTACCACATCAGCTTTAAAAATAAAATCAAAACACGTCTGATCCATATCTGCAGTGCTGCAGGAAGGTATTTAGCCCCCTTCCTGATGTCTTAATTATATCTGGGGTTTAAATAAATATCAAGTGTTAACATCACGTGACTTTTTTAAACTGCATTTTGTTCATCTAAATCTTCAGAGTATTAGTAAAGAAAGTGAAATGAAACGAGTGAGTATATACCTGCTGATACTCACGCACTGTGGCCTCACTACTGTACTGGGAGTATAATACTTCATCGGTCCAGTCAGTCATGTTTAACCACGGCCTGCTATAACGATTGGTGGTCATTCTGGTCTGTGACATCAGCACTACATGAGAACCACTGACCATGACACAGCATCTAGCTCTTATTTAAACCAGCTTTCTTTCTCATCATCCTACCTCCCATCCATCCTTTGAAGTGTCTGAACTCACATTTGTGAACACCTAGCTGACGGGCTAAAAATACTTATGCTGTCACACCTCATCATAGGCGTCACCCTTGGTTGCCTTGCCAACAGCTCTGTCTCCTTGGTGACAAGTCACTGTGGAGACAGAGAGATGTCCATAAAGAAAGATCCTCTCCCCTCCTCTCCCCCCCCCCACCCGTCCACACACACACACACACACACACACACACACACACACACACACACACCCACACACTCCTCATTCAAAGTCATTACAGAATTTAGTTATTAAAATGAATTAGATTTTCTTTGGTACCTTTGTTCCTCACTGACACTGACACACACTTATCTATGGTACAAGGCCAAGCACACCAAGCTACTTCTCTATTAGGATTACACCAGCATCATACACATTATGTAACGCTATATAATGCAACACCACTATCACTGCCAGCATCAAGAAGAGACGTTGCAGGTGTTGCTCTGATGGGGGCAGTGTAGGACACCCTGACTGGTGATGCAGTAGAGAGATAAGAGAGCTCCAGGTATTAGCTGGCCTTTGTTTATGTGCACAGAGCTCCTGCAGTCTGAGTAACAGAAGCATGGAGGAAGAGAAAGGAGGGATAAAATATCCATTTGCAATGCTAAGTAAACTGGTAGGAAAGGCTTTTTTAAAGTCATACACTCACCATCCATCCATCCATTCTCTGCCACTTATCCATATAAGGATACCTCTGATGCCTCTACTGTACATAACAGTAGATGCAGGATGCTAGCAGGCAGTGCATAGAATGCTATAACCAGGTTGCTGGCGTAATATACAGGAACATTTGTGCAGAGCATGGCCTGGAAGTCACAAGCTCAGATACGTCCTGGGGTATGAATGACCGAGCTAAGATCCTGTGGGATGGCTAACAAACCAGACATAGTAGTGGTGGACAAGGAGAGGAAGACGGCCGTAGTGAAAATCTGGAAAATAATTGTTTATTCTGGATTAAAAAGCAGATCATATATGAAACAGATCATTTATAAAGTGTAAATAAGTGATTAAGAAAGCATTTTCATGTACCTATATAT